GCGCAGAATTAGTGCCCTTGCTATTCCCTTCCCAGTTGTTGTTGAATCCCCAGGCAAGCCAAACAGCAGGGCTTTGGTTTTGCAATGTAACCAACTGGAACTAAAATGCAGCCACATTCATTTGCTGGTGCCCAGATCAAGCCGGTGTGTGCTAGAAAGAATATGAGGTCTTTCAGCTGCAAAACACACAGGCACAATGTCTGTGGTTTGACCTTACTGCAAAATCCAGCCTCTCTTGCCCTCTGTGTGCCCAAGGCAGAAGCATCCTGGGATTTGCAGGAGGGCCTTACTTTGCTGCAGGGGAGAGCTTATGTGGGAGAGGATCTCCATAAAATCCACATCCATACATATGGCTGTGCAAAGAGGAGCTCCTTAGGAGACAGTGAGTAAGAAAAAAATTATAGTGCGCCAGACAGCAAGGACAGCAAGCAAGAAAACAGACAAATGGAAGAGGTCCTGTGGGGTTAAATGTGGAGCGAAGGAAGGAAAGGAATTAGGGTGATAATATATCAACATAAGAGAGAATAAAAAACATACGGAAGAAAGGGGGAAACTAAAGATTAAGCACAAACAGGGAGACATACTGGCTAAAACAGGCAACAAAACATGCACAACAAGGTCAATAAAAGTCATCAAGCCCTTGGCCTATATCTGCTATCAGAAAAACTGTTCTGGAAGAAAATGGGTTAGGGGAAGCAAAGGGAGTCTCAAGACAGTGGGGAGCACCTGGCTGAGATCTCAACTTTTATACTGAAAAGCCCATTTGATGTCTTTCAGTTTAAAGTTACAGCCAGCGGCTATCCAGCTCCAGCAGCTCTCCTGATCTGGGGCCTTTTGCAAACCGCAATGTGTTCACTGGAATTGAAGTTTCCTGTTAGAAAACTGATGACTGCATCCCTTCTGGTTTGCCAGGATATAGCATTCACTATGTAAACCAATGCTCGGCTGTCTTGTTGAAGCAACAGCCTGAGGTATGAACATCTCCCATTCATCTTTATGGGATGTTAACCTCTAAAGCCTTGTTGTGATTTTCTGCATTCTAATACTATATTAAACAAGTTGTTTAACGTAGAAATAAGTTTAAGACACTCACAGTTATACAGGAGAGCTGGATCTGACTTTGATCCAGCAGCTACAGAAAAACAACCTGAACAAAACAAATACCTGAATTTCCAGTGTCTGGTCATCTCTGCAAATCAGTTTTATTTTGGTTTAGAGATGCAGGGATTAGGTTTGAATGACTGCTGGTTTTCCCTATTTATCATGTGCAAGTAGGCAGGTGATTCTTCAGTTTGCTTTCAGAATTTCTATTCCCTCTCCCAAAGCTGATGTCAGTACTACTTGGGTAGTCTTTTGATTCACTTTTTTGGGCTAGCCTCTGCCTTCTTTATTCATGTTCTTTGCTCTCGAGAAGACCTTGATAAGGACATGAAAGGAAGAGCTCAATGATGAGGCACATAAAAAGGAATTAAGCCCCTCATGTGCAGACTAACCATGCCATTGCATGGGCAGAAAGAGACCTGATGCCTCAAGGCAGTGCATACAAGGGATGAAAACTCCAGGTTTCCAGAAGTGGCTGGCAGTTACCAACTCTTCTATTGTTCAGCTTTCAAGAGGAATCACCTGAAAGTCTGGAAATTGCTAATACCCACCCTGAAAAACCTTTGGAAGCCTCACAATTAAGTAACCAACATCTCTGGTACCCAAGTTGCCCAGTAGCTCTAGGAAATCATAGGTAAAAGCATTACCTAGAAGTCACACTCACGCCCCCACATTTTGGCCTTGAATAAAAATCTTAGTACCGAGCTTACTACCAAAATTAAATGTACATCCATTAAAAAAATAGATCAAAAGGCAAATGAAAATGCCTGCTCAGATAAAGCCCTTTTCAAAAAGTTACAAGGGCGAGGGAGGAGGACCATGTGAGAGAGAGAATTTAAAGAAATGTCTGTTGAAAGATAAAATAAGCAAGATACTGTGATGAAGAAAGTGAACAATGAAACAGAATCCAGTACAGATCAAGTGAAAGAAAACCACATTACTATTTACAGTAAAGATCACTTGTCTAACATGTATAATTAGAAATCCACACACAAAGATAAAAGTGACCAGTGAATGCTGCTGTAATCAAAAATAATACAGCATTGTATATATTTTTTAAAAAATCTAACACTCTCCAAAAATAGCTACAATGGGTCTCATTAATAGAGTCTTCATCTGAACTAAACAAGTTCCCTTTATTCACATCGTAATTTGTCCTAGCCTGCCAAAAGAAACCCTCACCATAAGTCGTCACAGTGCAGCCCCCCCACCCCACACATCTGTGCCTAGCTGAAGTTTAGCTGCAGACAGGACAATGATACCCAAAGAAACCCATTCATGTTTCAAAGACTTCCATTTTCACACGAGCTTGTGTTGCTTGGGCTATATCTGAAAATACAGCAGAGCACCTGGGTTTTTCTCATTGTGCAAAACAACGGCTCACACCACTTCTGCACTGCACTCAGGCCACACACACATCTTTGGCTGAAATACAAATGTTCAGTGAATATGTGGGACAACACACCACAGTGGAAAATCTTGAAGTGCAAGGAGCAGTGAGAGGAAGTATCAACATTCCAGTAAAATTTCAAAGGTTTAAAATACCTGTTTAGGTATTGGTTTTCTTAAAATAAATAAACAAATAAAAAGCCCACAACACAAAGAACCAAAAAAAACCCAACAAAAAACAAACAAATCCCAAAACAGAGCAAAAAACCTTCCAGCAATGGAAGCACATCCTTTTCTTTTGGTTTCTTCAAAGTTTAATCAATATCTATTATTATTTGCATGCAGTATCCCAAGCAGACACACAGTCAGAGATGTTTGCTATTTTGAACTTGTAATTGGTTAGAGAACCAGACTTCCATGCAGGTGACTAGCAACAGGATTTGTACCTAGCTAGAGTCCCAGGAGACTTACAAAATTCAGCCATGAAAGCAAGCAAATCTACAAAAGGGGGCATGATCATGTTGCAGCTGTACTATAATAACACCAGAAAATTTCAACTGAGTATGTTATTTACTACTATTTCCAAATCTGATAATATACTACCAATATCCTGCCCTTAACAAGGTACTCCCAAGGGCATTCATGACTGCTGATGCCACACCGTTCAGTCTCTACAGAGTGAAATTACCCTGGAAAGGCCATAACCCACTAAGCTGGATTTTTTCTCTCTCCCTGGACTGTAAGCCTACCAGAAACAGTATGATCTGGAAACCTGTCCCTGAGCAACTGCCACCTCTTCCTGTTGTCTTTCAAAGGACAATAAACATGGTTACATTGCCCTAGATTTATCCTTATTATGATTCTTAGGTGCCATTTAATGCCATATGGAAAAACACTCACTGAGAAAAAGGATGGAAGAAGAAGACAAGAGATAAAATACCTAGTCTACAGATTTTAGTTTGACTTTAATATCTATGCAGAGTTTGCATTTTTGTTGGGGTTTTTTAACATAAGCAACTGAGTGTTCTGCAAATTCATGTGTGGAGCAAAGAGAGATGACAGTGCCCAGCACCTCTGAAAAGCTAACTTAATAAGCTAGTTCAAGTCCTACAGGTTTAATATTCCAGACATTAACAAAAAAAATGAAGTATATGTAAATCACTTCTTCTTAAGATAGTTCTGATTTTAAACTAAACTTTTTTTTATTCCCCCAAAGTGGTAATTAATAAGTGCATAACTAGTGGAAAACAGAGGCAAACATAAGACAGAAACTGAAGTCCAAAACTCTCCAACTATTATATTTATGTATTATTAAATACACACTATACTGCAGGCGTTCTCTCTCATTATTATTATTCACAAGCAGCCAGCCTAACAAATATTCACTGAATTCACACCTTAAAAAAAAAAAGAGGAAAAAAAAAAGGAAAAAGGGAGTGAGCAGAGAGGCAGACAGATGGAATATATCAGTGAGTCAGGAAAACAGCTATCGCGAATCAAGCTCTTTTTTTTACTGGGAAAAAAAAAAAGGAGTTTTTAATTTCCAAAACTGTTTACAGCATACTAGCAATTGTCAGCAAACTTGCTGCACAATAAGCTCTTATGAACGTTTTCTTCACCTCTGAAAGACTATGAGCCATCTATTGTGAAAAATAATAACGAAGAAGTACAATAAGAAGTGTATGAAGAAGGGCATGGAAGTTTTATATGCTTTCTTAATGGATGGGTTCTATGTAACTGAGTAGGAAATGCCTGAAGTTGCAAATATGCTCCAAGAAATATCATAAAATCTAAATAGCCATATTATGAAGATAATAGAACTCATACTTTTTTTTACTGAAGTCAACAGTAGTTTTACCACTGACATCAGTAGCAGCAGGACTAGGACCAATACACTAGGACTAGGGCCAATAGAGTACCATAAACACCCCTGAGAGAAGCATTTCCAACAACTGCATGTAGTGGCTTGTATGAGCAGCTCTAGGAGAAGATCTTATTCTTCCAAGTAACCTGCCCTAGAAAGTCAAATACACTATTTTACTGGGACAGGAAAAAAAAGCTCAAAGTCATTTAAATACCTATCTCCAAAGAACAAAAATCAAATCCTCTTTACATTCTTCACACTAGGGGAAAAAAAAAAAAAAATAAATATTTCAGATCCATTTGCTAATTTTTTTTTTGTCACCATGCTGAAACATCTCCCCATGTTGCTCTGAATTTACACATACAATGTGAGTTTAAATTAGCATATGATCAGTCACCAAAGATGTCAAGTACATTATCAAGATTAGTCAAGTATGAAATACTACAGAGGGAAAAATATTTCAAAGAAGATGTAAACTGACCTAGTTTCCCAGCCTGTTGTTCCAAATTATCAGGATTTCACTAAAGACTCTATTTGTTTCATCTTGCCAGAATGACTTGCAGCTTATAAAGTGCATTGATCTACTGGTGAGAATTAATTGTAGAACCCAGTGACTTCTGTCAAAGTAATATACTTAGTTAAAACCTTTTTGTTGTATATCTTTGTCGGTGTCTCCAAAATTAAAATTCAAAACTTAGCAACAGCAGAACTCCTGAGGAATCTCAAAGCATCGACTGGAACTTAACAATTCTTTCTCATTTTGTATTCCACACTAAACCCTAGGTCAGTTAACAAAATACATTCTGTGAAGAAAAGCGTAAGTATTGGCATAATTTGCAGTGCAAATGAAAGAAAATCATTACTGCTTAATTAGCAGTACATATGTCAAGAATTCAGTAAGAGAAATGCTTAGAAATAAAATAATAATAATTTTAAAACCTAGAAGCTTTTTATCTTCTGCTCTGAACAGAAACCACAAGCCCTGTATATTGCCTAATTTCTTCTATAAATAATTCACTCCAAATTGTGGACATTTTCTATAGCAGACATTTAAACCTCAAGAAGGCTTAGTGCTCTAAGTAAGAGGAGTTTCATTAATCATTCTCTGTTCCTCAAAGCTAATTTTTAACTATGGCTTCTTGCTGAAGAAAACATTTTGTTATTTTAAAGTTCTGTATGACAACCACTGGTAACATCTCTGGCATGTCTGAGATCCTTTTAGGTATTTTTCTTTTTTAAAAAACTACTTTTTAACAGAACATTTCCGAAAATTCTTTAAAATATTCTGGGATACAATTCTAGTAGCCAGTGTGCTCTAATGGAGGCTGGACCCAGCCCAGAGGATTCAATTCTCAAGTCATCGCTACACTGGGATTCCCAGTTACATCAGTAGGAGATTAGGAATGAGTACCTGGTTCAGTTCAGAATAGTCAAAGAAAGCACGTAGGGAGCTGAACAGAAAAGGCAGTTTATTGTGCAGAAGTAGAATTAGTCACCCAAGCTCCACCCATCTGCTCTGGTGCAAAGTGGCTCATTTTCAGCATCGTTGCTCTACCTGCCCGCATTCCAGTGCCTTGCTTGGAGCTCTTGATCAAGGTACCATTTCACATAGCTGTCAACAAACCACACATTCATCAGTAGGACAACTTCCAAAGTTAAGACTATTCCAAGCAGTGGCTTTTCCAAACCAAAAACAATAACAAAAACACGGCTGTAAAATTACGACACAAAGGGTCAGTAGAGAATGTGCACTGTAAACTCTGAGCTAGAGAAATATGGTCTGTCAGTAATCTCATAGCAAAGAGTGTGCATTCAGGGTAAAACACACAAATTTTGCTCAACTTACAGGACCTGTCCCAAAACTGACATACTTTAAAATATTAATAAAAAAATAAATCAAAGAAAACATAGCTTTCAAGTACAGAAAAATAGTTATGCATGATTCCTCTGACAACTTTTGAGAGATAGTATTTTCATCAATTATTTTGTTCCAGGTATTAGAGAAGTTGTTTATATGTAGAGATACACAACTTTAAAATGAAAATTTCCCAGGCACCCTAACAATATGAAGTTCTAGAGTAAGCTGATCTAATAAAAAGCCACAACTACAGGTATCACCATTACTAAATTACGATGGCAGTGTATCAGCAAACAGGAGTTATTAAAGCTAATTTATTCCCATCAGCATACAAGTTAGTTAAGGTTTGCTTTCCTATCGTGTGTCCTGGGGACTCCACTGATACTGAGCACCATGGGGACTGGAACACTGTATAATCAATTCCCCCCATGTCAGTAAATGTTTGGGAGTTTTCTTCTATGTTTAGGTTTCCCACTCACCATGTCAAAAGCTTATATACAGAGAGTGTGAAGAAAACAGACACAATAGAAAGCACAAAATAACCATCAGTTCTGAAACAAAACAAAGCCTATTTCAAACCACCCACCCAACTTCACCACAGCAGATGTGACATGCCACAAAGCAGGGGAAAAGCGCAGACTCAGGGACAGCTTACTGCAAACTGGCCTGAAGAGGCAATATTCCCTGGGAGAAACCACAGGGTGGCTGTGGATCATTAAAGCCCTGTCTAGAGATATTGAACTCTTCAGAGGACAGACATCTTAGGAATAATTAACTGCATTAACATTCACTACACTGCCAAGCATTGTTCATCCCCTAGTAAAATGAACTTTGGTTTTTGCCTTGATTAGCCGCCACAATCAAGGAAAACATGTCTGAAATTTGCAGACAATTTTCATGCTTGAAGAGAGAGCACTGTCTTATTCTGCAGCACAAGTGCTGTATTATCCTTCACTTCTACAGAAGAAGATGTCAGTATGAGACACACTATATGTGACAATTTAAATGCATGCCCTGGGGCTTAAATCAGCACAGTGCCAAAGTCTAGAGATGCTCGCAATCGCAGACGGGCTGACCTCAACTGCAAGACTCAGAAAATAGGCTACACTTCCTAAATTCTGAGCTGGACAAGGCCTCTTTATAAGAGGTCCTGGGAAGAAGCTCATTTCGTCTTTTAAATTTCATAGTCTGTCAATAACTTCTTGAAAGATTGAAAGCAAACACAAAATTCCCTTGCCTAAATCCACTGGTTTTCTTCTAACAAAACCCATATTGCTTAACAATTTTTTAGTACTGGTTCTGTTCAAACAAGGTATATAATGCATGCTAATGCACACATGACATGCTCAGATACCATGGAGCAGAGCAAGCATAAGAAAGGAAGTCAACTGCTAGCCACCATTCAGACTTCTCCAAGGTGCTTTGGGGAGTGGGCATGGGTTGACATGTGTAGGCGAGGCCATCTGAGTGATTCAGGGGTGACCTTTACTGGCATTAACAGCACACTCCTTGTGATTTCAGCAGAAGCTGGAGTTGCAATCACAGCATTTGAGTGCAAACGGATGGAGCCCCCTGAGCAGCAGCCCACTGCAGTGACTGGTGCTGACCACTGCTGCAGTGCAGACCCACTTTTCATGATGGGTGTTTGCTTCGCCTGCAGGCAGCTTCTCTACAAACGTAGCTGTTACAGTTAGGTATGCAATCTAGAGCAGCAGTGTAACAGCATCTCCCAACACAGAAACAGTGCTATATTGATAGAAAAATGGCCTTAAACTGTCATCACATCTCATTCTCCTCAAATGAGCTCTTCAAGTGTGGGATCACCATGTAGACACACAGTGTTACTAAGGTGGTAGAAGCCTGTTAGCACACTTACAGCCATGTAGTTACTGCAATATGCTCCAGCTATTCTCACTCAAGAATCAGGTGGTGTCTTTCCAAAGCAAAACCTTTCTAACTCAACCATCTATCCATGTCACACTTTCAGATGTCTGTAATCAAATACTGCTCATTTTGCTTTGCAGTGCAAATAGAGCTTGGATAAATGCTTCCCTGCATTTTCCTTCACGTCTGTACTTGCCTGTACCCCGAAGAGGGGACCTGTACCCATCCACGTTATTTCTGTCAGAGGCATAGCATCACTTCCAACTTACCAGTGAATGTGCCAATATCTGAATCCCATGACCATTTCCCACTGTGGGCTTTCCTTTTGCTGCCATTTCATGGGTATTTGCAAATGCTTGTTAAGGAATATGAGCTGGGGTCATCAGAAGAAAACTTCTCATCCTTAATCTGCTATTGTCAGCTCCTGATGTATGCAATATGCAACCCAAGGAGCCACACTGGAGAAGGGCTCTTTGACTTGAAAACAACAGCTCTGGATACAAAATGTACACCTGTGTCAACACAGAGATGGAAAAGATTTTGATTTATCCTTCAGCCAGGTTCTAGAGGCATTTGGAAATCAGAACTCAGCAACTGGAGCTTTCAGACTGTGTTGTGCTTTCACAAGCCCCCCGCACTGTTTCTCACACATGTACCCATCTCACCAGGCACTGCAGAGACTGGCACGCAATTCTGCATTCTGTAGGTTCCTCCCATGCAGACTCCTGCCATGGACCACACTTGTCCTTGGCTGCACAGCTATGTGAAATGCCCATCACTGGGGGCTGAGTCCTACGCAGCACAGTGATGCTATGAAGCCAAAGTGCTCAGCACTTTCCAGAAGAAAGCCATTACTATTCCATTATTTTAAGGCACTGTTGCTGACAGGCTTGGCCACTTCCACGGGCGTGCATGTCAGCTACTCCAAGACAAACGGGCTGCCTGCGCTGCATTCCTGCTGTTCTTGCCAGCCTCTGTCTATCATCTGTTTTCCATTTCATTCCTTTACCTCCCATTCTTTAAAAGTATCTGTAGGGTTGAAAAGTATCCACTGGCTTCCTGGTCTCTGCCGCTGGAAGCAGAGTCGTTTTTGTTACTTGTTCCAGGGAGCAGGCCAGAAGCAGGCAGCCGGGGAGAGCATCAAGCCAAGAGGTGGGGTTTTAAGGGGATTGTGGGTTGTTGTTTTCCCTTCTTGTAATCTCTGCCCCCTGCCTTGAGATTTTCCAAGCATACCCAGAGCTGCAGGGCCTGTCCATGAAATGCACTCACTGCTAGGTCACAGTGGTCACGGTCACAGGCTGCTGTGAATCACTGAGCTGAGAATGACTCCCTCCTTCCTGCACACAGTGTTGCCCTGAATCCAGTTAAGAAATTTAATTGATTTTAATTAAAATAATGCAAACTCCTGCATGACGCTCTCAATTTAGTCTAAGAATAGCTTATTTAGATTTACTTTACACTTGTGCTTAATTGATTAAACCAAAATAAGTCATGTTCATGCTAGAATCAGTGCATAGGTTTAACTAGCCCAGAGCTTGTTTGTCCTTCCAAATGTGTGCAATAACAAAGAGCATAGGAAGGCATGCAGTGAGTATTAGCTTGGACTGTGAAACACAACATTAATCTGTCACCCACTGACCCTGTGCTGTATTGCCAATACGTCAAACATCTTCACTCTGCTTAGCCCAAGCACATTCCATGCACTGTGTTCTTTGTCAATAACCATTCAAATACTTCTCTGCCAGTAAAAGTCACAACATTTTCCTGCCCCCTCCAGCATCAGCAGAGTTTCTTACTCTTCATGAAAATTCAAATGAAAAATATCGACAAGTTTTCATTGCTTTTAAGGCACACAAAAAGCAACTCCATCTGCTTTTCCTCTTCTTCGCAAAGGGAATGCAATGCCTGTGGATTTTTAATTCCACCTTCATCTTCAAGTCAGACTTGAAAAACTGAGAACCTGGTTTTATGTGGGCTTTAGGAGAACAATTTGAGAGCTTCTCAAGAACAGCTTAACTGAATTTCAGCAATCCTACATGTGAACTGTTTTGTGAAGAGGTTTGGAATCCTTCAGTAGAGAAGATGCTATGCAAATGGACAACATTTATCATTTGCACAATGTGCACACAAACAGAAAACTGTCAGAAAAGATCCCTTATCTGTAAGCCAGGACACTATCCACTTCTGAAGTGGGTACTTCACAGCCAGCCCTCAGCACACTCTATTGCCCCCCACCAGAGCAAAAATGCCAGCCTGAGTGGGAGGGATGAGGTTAGTTTTCGGCAGTTTTTGGCTAGAAAGCACTTGTTTTAATATTAGTGAGCAAAAGAGTTAATAGAGAAAGGGATTGGCATCATTGGATACCTTTGCAGTGTGGGGAAAACCAGCAGCAATGTCCTGGCAGGATTAAGCATGGATTCCTGCATGCAAGATGCCTCAGCAAGCTACAGGTGGCAGAGGCATGTACCTCAAGGCAGCTGAGATGTATCTCTGAGCACCTATGAATATCAAAAATTGTCAAAAGCAAATGAAGGAAGGTCAGCATGAGATCATCAGAGTAAACTATTTGGGAAGAGGGCTTTTAATGAGTCTTCTGAAAGTTTTGTTGTTTTGGGGAAAGGAGAGGGAACATGCCCAACTCTTTTTGGAAGCGCAGTGAAACTCCTTATTCTCAACAGCCTCTTTCAAATGTAGTCCTGTGTTATTTCTGGAACATCCTTCCAGAGGTACTTGGTTTTATTTACGTTCTAGGCCCAGTCTCATGACAGATGTCTGTGAAGTTGTGCTGATTTCAGTGGGACACGGCAAGTGGGTGATACAGGTGTGCTATCTGACTGCTCTGGGACAAACATTCTAGACAAGTATTTGCT